TCCTGAACGTCATCCCATGATGGAATGATAATAGAAACATGTTGTCGAGCTAGGACTCCCAAATAGCTCTTAAACTTGGCAGCATTTGGGCCTGATGCCTTGCCAGAACGAGGATCCACCTCAACCGGTGTCCTCTCCTTGGCAATGCGTCCAGCTGTCAACCCAGACAATCGGGTGACAGATCTACCTTCCCTCCTTCCACTGCTAGACCTAGAATCCTCCATAATCCTGAAAAAATTAAACTTTCATTATTAAAACAATGAATTAACTGAATAGACAAATAAAGTAAAAAAGATAATAACAATATAGCAACAAAATAACTATTAAAAAAAACAAATAATACACAAACAGAAACCTATCTGGAATAGCCCATACTAAAATCAGAACGGGCCGTTCCAGATAAACAATTTACAATACAAAAAATTTAAGCAGAACGGGTCGTTCTGCAACCAGAACGGGCCGTTCCAGATGAACAAATAGCAGAAAATAAACCAAAAATTTGCGTAGACAAGAAACTAACCTCAAACGTGTAATGTGTAGACACTTAGAGAGTTACAAACGTGCAATGTAGAAACAAACGCATTGAGAGACTTAGAGATTGAGAGAAAAGGGATTATTAGTTTTCGTAAACAGGGAGCGCGGGAATGAAAAATTATGTCGGGTGAGGGTGGTGCGACGTAAATTTACGTCGGACTAGGGGGGGTCCGACGTAAATTTACGTCGGACAGTGAGAGCTCCGACGTTAATGGGCTAATTTACGTCGGACCCCCCTTTGTCCGACGTAAATTAGTTCCCATTATTTACCATTCTGCCACCGCGTTTTTATAACGTCGGTGATGCCTTGTTCCGACGTCATTTAGGTGACGTAAAAGCGTCTTTTTGCACTAGTGCCTACAAAGGAAAACTTGTTGAGGAGAAATGTGATAGACTCGAGAGATCAAGAAAACTGCCCCTTCTGCAATGTGGATATCGAGTCGGCAGAAACACATATTGTTATATTGCAGCGGCACTGACCCGATCTGGAAAAAATGGTTGTTGTGGTTGGATAGCCTGACTCCTCTATCTAGCTCATTTGAAGGAAACTTCTTTGCTCATCCAAGTATACTATTGTCTAAAAAGAGGGTTGATCAATGACATGTTATATGGGCTGCAATATTATGGTGCACCTGGAGAGCTAGGAACAAATGTGTGTTTGAAAGGGAGCACCTCGACGGGAACCGCTTACTGCAGCAAACTGTGTTATACTCATGGTCTTGGCTTACCTGTTTAAATAATTCATTCAACTATTCATTCAGTCAATGGGAAGCTAATCCTGGACTGTGTATCATTTCCTAAGATCTTTGGTTGGGTTTTGAGGAGTCTTTATAGTAGTCTAGTATCCAAATAATAGGTTTTGGACCTTTTAGTTGGAGGCTAATTTGTAATTTAAATTAGGCTCAACTTCGTTGTGTCCTCTGCATGCAAACTTGTATTTGAGTTTGGTATCTCTTGTACCATTTCATTATATAAATTATTTCTTTGTTGTTCAAAAAAAACAAGGTAACTCTCGGAAGTGTAATAATAATGTGAATGTAATATTTCTTTTTACAAGTTTTTGAAAAATAATTTTCAGGTATTATTTATTTTTAAGAAATTTATCTTAACATATTTTCTAAATTTTTATTTCCATGTTGAAGGGGAGAAAAAAATGATATTTCTATGAAAATATAGAAAGTTATATTTTAACACACTTGTAAATATTTTTAATTAAACTATTTTTAATTGTCAAAATATCAAATAAAATACTAAGATACGACAAAAAAAAGTTTTTAAAATATACTAAGAATAATATTCTAATTAAAATATCTTTGAGAGTACAATTCTTAAGAATAAACTTATAAACCGTGAAACAAATGTCTCGGATGGGAGTAAGAAATAAAACACACTAAAATACAAAATACTAGCTATAAATCTTGTATATTGTACGAATTTATTTAAATGCTAAAAATAATATAATTTAAATATATAAAATATATGTTAAGAAATGAACATATTTTCTTACTAATTAAAAGTGGTAGAACGCGAAAAAATACTCCAATACTAGACGCCAATAATATTTTAGAGTTGCTAATTAACAAGGACTCACCTAGAGAAATTTCAATGAGGTGAAGGAAATTGAATCCTTATGCATAGAAATGATGAGAGTTAACTTTAGATTCTTAAGCATCTGTATTAATCCACGCTGGCTAATAATATCAATAGTTGTTTTTGTCAATCTCGATAAACCTTTAGTATTATCTTGTAAATCTTTTAGTTATATTATAAGAATTAATTATTGATCCTGATATCATTCTCGTTTACGATGGGGAAGTGAACATTTGTTTTTTCTTTACTTTTTTAGATGAGTTTAAAGTTTGGATATGTAATTTGAATAAATTATTAACTTAAATAAATATTAGTTTGATATTTTTATCCTCTTAGAATATTTTCTAATTATTACAATGTTAGTATTTTTATTGTCAAAGTGTATAAATCATTTATTAAATTCACGTCATACAATTTGTTTCGGTTTCATATAGTGTCGATAACTTAATATATTAATACTTATTTATTGTTTCTTCTATGTGGCTAGCGATAATAATATCTTTGAATTATTTGTATTAAAGCATTTCTAGTGAGAGTTGCTTATAAACAACCCTGCCACATCATGTTACATCAGTTTTTTTTTCACTTTTTTTTAAGTAGTAGAGCTTCTATAAGTAACTTTACTAAAATTTAAGCAATCCATAAACATTAAAAAAAGCTGATGTGTTTTCTTTTAAAAAGTTGATAAAAATTTATTTTAAATAAAATGTATTGATTTTAACGACGTGTTTTCTTTAATAATATTTAGCATATATCTACTTATTAGGAGTTGTAAGTAAAAATAAGTAAAAGACAATAGATATAAAGTAAAACACACACAAAAAAAAACAAAAAACATTGCATTTGACTTTTATCTGTTATATTTTTTATATACAAAACTAATTTTTACTAAGTCTTTGTTGTAAATAATTTTTTTAATTTTTTTTCTCTTTCTTTAAGGGATTAAAAAAAAATTCAAAATCCTCATAAATTTGCACAATTAAGTTGAACTGTTGAAGTAACATATTTTGAAACAGGTTCTGTAAAACTCACTACAAATAATTTTTAGTTTATTGATATAAGGAGTATCCCGTCAAGCACCGGAACTAATCTTCGGAGGAGGATTCATAAATACTTTTATTCTCAAGAACAAATTGTCTCTTTATTTTTATGCATCAAAATTTATAAATGTGCAGTGAAATTTGCAAAAATATTTTTCCAATTTTAATTCAAATATAACTTCATTGTTTGCCATCACTTTGGATGAGACTTTAAGAAACTAACTAAAAAAATTCCCAATTATCAATGTGATTGGAAGAGTTTTAATTAAGCAAACATAAATCACCAGTAGCGCCGCTGGTCGTGTGTGTTGTTTTGTTCTTTCTTCTATACAACGAATAGAGGTTTTCTCTTTGGTGATTACATATATTTTGTGAGGAGAAATGGTAATTTTACAAAAGAAAATAAAATCGAACACTTTATTCTCTAGTATCTCCTATTTTATCGGACATTTTTATTGTAAAAATAATAATAACCGTGGTGAGAATAACAGTACTCTTTCAGAGTATGCATACACAGTAAACGAGATGAAACTGGTGAGTACTTGTATTTTCAAATACTTCCTTTCCCTCTTATGTCCTAGTTCTCGTGGCCCTACGAGAGGCACTATGTGCTAAAAAGAAATTTGCATGTCAATGGTGAAAAAAAATAAAATGAGCCCTACTTTATGAAAGTGTGATTTGTGATATGGGTGAGTGGAGTATCTAACATGATTATTTTATAAGATTTGAGGTAGAGGACACTTAAGCTTTTTCAATTTGAAACTTAAAGGCGTAAAAGGATAGGGTTAAGAAGAAGAAGATCATCGAATGAAGGAGTAGTAGGTGCGTGGACTTATGCGTCCGTAGCTTCTCCTTTTAACCTAAAAGCTTTGTTTGATTTACGCGTTACTGTAGTGAAAAGGATCGATCCATCGTTTTCAGTCACACACAGGTAGCTGAAATCAACAAATAAAAGGAGACAAATCGCTTTGGTTTGGTTCCAAAGTCAGGAATATGTAGCATTAAGTGGAACAGTACAGATCAGAGACAACTTTGTCTTTCTTCTTTCCCAATACAGAGAAAAAAGGAAAAGTAAAGCAAATTAAACCACATTGATTCATTCGGAACTAACGCAAAGCAAAATGATGGATGCATGGTCAAACAAACTCAAACCCCTTCATCTGCCTTCCGGGTGCAATGGGAAAAGCTCCAGAGTTCTATGTTCCTCCTCTTCGCATGCTAACTTGCTTTCGCCTTCCAAACACTCAAATACCCATCTCCTACACTTCTTCTTGTACGGACTATCTTCCTCATAATCTCTCTCTACTACTTCCCCCTGCAATAAAATTTCATAATTACACTTAGGTTAATTAAAGTAATACTGTAATATCAAGTTTTAGGTAGGTTAGCGTGTGGAACATAACAAAGTACATACTACATACCCTTGTGGTCTCCAAAGTAACGACACTATGAATGGAGGGAGTTGGAGGAGAATGAGAATGAGAATGAGAATGAGAAAAGGTAAGGCTGTTGCGCTTCTGCTTTTGTCTCTCGCGTGCTTTGTGATTCTGAAACCAATAGAACACGTTCTTCCCTTCGATCTTACCGTACTTGCCAAGCTGGACCGTGATCTGCTCTATCTGTTGAGCATTCGGAGTTCGCATCCCTCCTTTGTACAACATCTCCAATATCCCTATCTGTTCTTGCGTAGGATTCCACCGTGTCCCTCCAGGAATATGCGTTTCAACCTGTTCGTGTAGTATATCATAATTAATCAACAACTTGTTTTTCTTCAAATAAATTAAAATTAAATGCATGTACATATATATATATACGTGCATGTGAATTATGTTACTCACTGCATGGTCAATAATTTAGAGATGAAAGTAATAGTGATAATAAGAACCTGGGATTGGGGTGAAGGTGGATCCTTCTTATTGTCATGAGAGGAAACGTGTTTTCTGGGGCCACTTTCTGGCCTGATGAAGCTCTTAAGATCGAAAGGAACAGAAGGAGTAGTAGTGTCGGTGTTGGGAAGCTTGGGAGCAAGAGGGCGTAATCGCTTGAAGCCAAGCGTGAGGAAAGGTTCATGCTCCCAGAATCCACGTGTGAACTGATGCACCTTCATGCTGCCCATGGTGGAGAGAAGAGGGTGAAAGGGAGATCACTCATTATATAGAGCAGGATCCATGTGAGACACTATTGACTATACTATACTCATTAAAAAGTGGACAAAGTGGGAAATGAGGTGTTGCCTGCAACAACCAAGACCAAATCATGAGATGTAGTTGACTTACCAATTTCCTCCTATAAATTAAAGCAAAAGGCATTGCAACTCACCCAATCAAAAGTATAACTAAACAAAGAAAGGCACAATCAGAGACATGCACCGTACACAATAACTTATTACCATAACAAACAGTACGCTAATAACATATTTTTATTATTGTTCAGAATTTATTAGATTAAAATTATGTATGATTATACGAGACTCAAGTAAAAATTATAAATTTTATGATTTTAATAAAGAATGTATACGTATTTAGACGTGGAAGTAGCTAGCGCGCGTGTGGACAGGGGTTGGTATATATGTGTGGATTGTGCGTGTGTGTTGGCCCGTCAAATCGGGTCTGTTTATTTTTCTTGCTTTCATGATAAGGTATCCATGCTTTTCGGTGGCCTCTCTCTCTTTCAAAGCTTTTGTTGATCGATAAAGTGATGTGAGGAATGCAAAAAGATTCCTCCAATCCCAAAACTTGAAAATGGAAGCCCTTTGATCTGCTTTTCAGGATACGGATTTTTATATAAAAACGGATGAATGGGACGGATATGATGAATGCCGTCTTTGTCCTTTTTAAGTGCTAGTGCTAGTGCTAGAGAATGTCCAAGAAAACACTCACTCGCTCAACCATTTCCCACTCTTTTCGGAACTGTACCTCAATTTCCCAAATACTACTTTACACTCCACATATATATAATCTATAAACCATGCACCCATCATCTACCCTCCATTTATTAAGCCCTTATATTTATAAATAATTTTGAAATCACTTATAACATACTTTTATTATCTATCAAGGTAAACGAGTAAAATATTAAATAATTTTTAAAGTATTAAAGCATATTATAAAAAGATACAACATATTCTACTGCTAGCTAGCTAGCGAAAATATATCCATTTAAAATCATGAATATATAAAAGGAAAGGTTCGTGAGAGAAGAGGGCATTGCAATAATTCAGAATTCCCGCGTAGCATATATATGATTGAGTGTTGAGTGCAGCTGGCAACTGGTCGGATAACTAATCAGTAATCACAGTTCTTTAACCAACCCAGCTCGGCACGTGAGTAAACATATTTATTCATGTAACTCCAGCCTTTAGCTATACACGTGCCATTCAAATTGGGTGCACGACAGTGACACACTGCACACGTGTTTCAGTCAAAATACATGATGGCCAATCATCACAATCATGCACCTGCAAGCTGCGCGTGAGTTTTTCCTGTTTCACTCCAATGGATATGATTGTGAAAGCCTTTAAGCCTTATTTAGGACAATAATTCATCCTGAGTAGTTATTTATTAATGTCATCTCTCTCGTTACTTCAAATCAATAGCCAAGACTCTTGCACCCACTAATTTTCATGTCTTAAAAAACAATTTATAATCATTTTGCACCAGTCATTCTCAAGCAATATAGCTAGCGTTTGCAATTTTTTTATATCACGAAAATAACCAAACGCATAAACATCCCCTTTAAACTTAGTTGACAAATTTGGAACGATAAACCGTAATTTTTAATTTCTGCAAGTTTCAATTAATCACACCCATCTTTACACACAACATTGTGTTTTGATGATTAATCGAATACACTTCTCCATTCATTTTTTTTCCTTTGTTTTCCAAAATAACCTTAATATTATGATATTTGAGCAATAAATATTTACGGAATGTTTAACAATATTCAAGTTATTCAAAAGGAATGATAGTAATGGAACACCTTTTTTTTAATTCTTGTAAAACTTGCTAAATTAATAAGGAGACGAGATCCAACCTAATTTAATAAATCCTTCGTGAATTCAACGAACAATAAATATTAAGTGTGTATTATTTAAAAAAAATATATACATGTTAGTGTCATTTCTTAAATTTCAATTTTTTAATCACTATCTCAAAAATTCACTTTTTTGTTTATTAGAATTAGAAGGATGGTAACAAGGTTCAAATGTAAGACTTTGTATATACTACTCTAACCTCCTATCAGTATTAGGCCAACCCTAGTAGTATGTCTCAAAAAAATTTATTAATAAATAATAATCATTGAAAAGTATAAATATTTATATGTTGTTTGCATATAAAAATGTATCACTTTTAATAATTTTTGTTAAAAAATATTTATTAACTCCTTGACCACAATTAGACCAATGGTTAAAAAAACTAAATTAGTTTTAGTGCTGCCTAAAGAAAAAGTAAGATTATATTAGAAGAAAATCCAAGTTGTCTCGGACTCTATAAATAATATATGGGAGCACATCCACGAGGGTGGCAATATCAAATTATCAATAGTAATATATCCATGGAGGAAAATATGTATACACAGATTTTACAGCAATTAATAGTATATAAACATAAGGTTTAGGCAAGTATCATTATTTGAGCTCAATAAGAAAATGGTTAAGAAAAATAATTAAATATAATATTATAAGTGCTTTTTTTTACAACAATATTATAGGTGTTGTTCTTCTTAAGAAAAGTATTAACAAAAGGAAAAATCTAATCACTATTAACTTTAAGATTTACCTATCATCTGTTTTGAAGGACATGTGATTGGGCCAATAAACATCATTGCAGAAGCTGGCTTTGTTAAAAAGTATGATCGATGGCTCCCTTTCAACGTAGGATAAAATCACTTTTAAAGCTAAATGTAAAGAAAACAAAAGGGGACTCCAAAAACATGATGTGAATATAGTGTAACTTCCATTAATCCAACCTTTCTGATTTCCAAAATCCGGGAAAAGAAATTGATACCATATATATTAGTTGTTAGGATTCACTTTTCACATTATTTTTAATCATGTTTGTGATCCTTGTATTCATACATTAGATGAATTTTATAATTTCTATGTGGATCGATAAATCTATTTTTAAAAATTTCATGTCTTGAATCGAATAAAATATTATTTAAAATTATGCTCTTAAATTAAAATAAGTACTGTTTCAAAAAAAAAATCATATTAACTAAAATTTAAGAATTAAATGATTAAATGGATATTTTAAAAGATAAAGAAACAAAATAATTTTTCTGATAAGATAAAAAAAATATTTTTTATTATATATTTTACTTTTTAAAATATTAAAAAAAAACTAATTAATGATAGCCATGCAACCCATACAATTACAAACATTCAATAGTTCAATTGCATATCTCGCTGGCCCCTTAGCCTCATGACGTGAGTTGTGTTATATATGGTATGTGGTGTACGTGCCTTTTGCTTACCAGCTCATTTGTACCTCAATGCTTTTCAAGTACCACCAAATTTTCAGTATTTTTGTACTATAGTTTTTTTGATAATTCTTTTTGTATTTCGCAGTTTATTTATATAAAAGAAGCTTAAGATTGATAAAAAATAAAAAATAATCATTATATTAATTGTCTTGCTTTAAAGAAAGAAAACATATTAATTCTAATAGTACTTGAAGAAATTTCCCTCGAGCACACGTGGAGATGGTGCTTTTATTGAAGAATAATTATTACGAAAAATTATTGAAAATTAATTTCTTAAACTATTACGAGTAACTTTCAATTGGGAAAGAAAATATTTAACTTGAGTTGCATGTTGAAACTTACCCAGTTGCGTCGATTCTTACCTTGGTATTATTCAAATTAAGTTGAAAAGTTTGTTTTAAAAGGTGGCTTTTTAATCTTTTATCCCATTGGGCAGATGTCACTATATATGAAAGTCGAAATCGTGGGATAATGATATCAAGGTTGACAATTTATAGATTATGAGCTTGAGGCCATGTTTTTTGGCCTCACATTAATTACACAGATCTCGTATCTGATTGCACCACATTTATCTCAACTCCCTTCAATCACGACAATACAACAATTTCCCTCTAATGACCCAATGTCGTGCCTATTTACACGTATATAGGTTTTCATGATTCTGTTCCTAATTTTACAGTAATTTTTATTATAGGATTTAGGTTTTCCAGCTAATACATTTTGAAAGTCTTGATCTCATTGCAAAATAGACAGACAACAGCCCACGTCATCACCTCATATGATTCATAAATGTGTCGGTCCCAGAATTGCACATTACCGAGTTGGGGATTTTTCTAATATATCCAAATATAAACATCTAAACATTGTTTCTCTACGATTGTACCCCCTCCCCTTGGAAAGGAAGGGGACAAAAACCTTCAATATCGTATTTCAATCACTTTCTCCTTCAATTTTCGCTATTATTTTTTTATAAATACAAAAAAAGTCAATAAAACTATAGTAATAACAAGGAGAAAAATTATCAAAATTTTATTGAAATTAATTTTGATGTATTATTGATATAAATATTGCACTACTATTACAACATTTTACTTATGATTTTGATATATTAATAACTCTAAAATATTAAGCTTTTAAAATGATATACAATATGTTATAAAATGTAAAGCTTTTCACGATTACAATCATATTATATATATTAGAATTTAAATTATTTAAAATTTTATGAAAGTTGATATACATGAGAAAAATGACTTAAATGAACTATTATGGTCGTTCTATTTAGAAGGAACAAGATTCTAAATAGTGTCAGGATTGTAAAAAATAAATATATGTAACATAAATAATTTAAGAGTTCTCCCTTTTATAAATATGAAAAAATACTTAGAATTTTATATTACTATCTAATCACAAACTATTATTTATAATTAGTTGTTAATTTTTATAATAAATAAGTAAAAAAATTATTCTAACAAGTTAATTAGTTGACAATTAAATTATTAGTGCATTATCATTAACCTTCTCTCTCTCTATATATATATACATCAAAACAAGTCATTTCTAGTTGATCATCCATTAACAGTCAAGTCATCCAAGTTAATCCTACTTTACTCTTATTATACAAAGTATAATCATTGTAGTTCAATCATAAGAAAAAAAAGGATAAGTTTATGAAAGAATCAACATAACAACAGA